CGATTCCACTCATAATGGCTTGCGTGGAATGAGAAAAGATGACCAGAATTTCAATATTTCAAACCAAGAAAAAATTATTTCTCACTTGTGCGAGACACAACTCTGTGTTATAGTGGAAAAAGGATTATACCGTATATTGTATATTTTGTAAGTGAATACATGTATATTTTAATTTTTCACTTCTAATCATTACTGATTATATAAATATTATTTATTATCATCTCTAAATAATAACTATGTTCTCTGTTATAATTACTCTTTTATTATCATCGATACTCGGATGTCATAATTGCTTTGTTTATTATTTGTGTGTGGGGGTTTCTATCTTTCACTTATGCTCACTTCTTATTGACCTTGGGCGTTGAGTTAGCAGGCAAATAAACAAGAATTCAACCGAATTTAATTATTGCCAACACCATCAATTGTGAATTCATTTCTAATTAACAGTTAATTAATCTTAATTTACTCTTGTGTTCAGTCAATTTAGGCCTATGTTGTACAATTACACACTTTTATGTTCTTTGTCATAAATTTTCAAAAGTGTCGTTTGCAGTTCCTCATATGAATTGTTCTCCTTGTTCTATTGCTTAGCGTCCTTTCAATGCTTGCCCGTAATTAAGGTCCTTACCGTTGTCAAACGGAGCAGGGATAGTGTTGTTGGTATATCGGATGGCTACAGGCTGAACGACTGAGGAGTCGGGGTTCGAGTCCTGGCATGGTCAGGAATTTTCTCTTCTCCACGTAGTCCAGACCAGTTCTGGGACCCAACCAACCTCTTTTCCAATGGGTGCCGGAAGCTGCTTCAGGGACGGGAGAGGGGGGCAAAGTCGTTAAGTTGACTACCCACTTCATACTAGCGCCGAGGTCAAGAAAATATGGATCTACATAACCATGTCCCCACAGGCCTTCATGATTTAGTGCTTAATTAGTTAAGAACAGGAACAAACTTTTTTTTCTTCTTAGCACTACAGCCCCAGTGGGCCTAGGCCTACGTCCATGAACTCCGTTCACTTCTGTTTTTATAGATCTTACACATTCGGTAGGACTCCTTGGGCAGGTGATCAGCTCGTCGCAAGGCCTCTACCTGTAGACAAACACAGAAAAATGCACACAAACATCCATGTCTTGAGTGGGATTCGAACCCACAATCCCGACTTCCGAGCGAGTACATCCTTACATTGCTCGGCTACCGTGAACGGTGGAACAAACTTTTACTGTTATAAAACATTCTAATTATCTGACTGAATTATTTATGTAAAGTCACAATCAGTCAGCCACAGTGCCAGCCAGCAACATATGTAAAGCCTAGTCATAGTGCTTGAGACCAAGAAGATGTCGGGGTACAACATCGCCAGGACAGCCGGGTACTCCAGTTGTCTCCGAGGAGGTGCAGATTTCGTAACCGGAAATGTAAAGCAAACATTGAGTTATAGGGAGGAGATGAATGCGCTGCACTGAATCTGAGCTTAACTATTAAGAAAATTACTTGTACTTCATTTTGGTTCAGTTATATTTCAATTATGCCGAAAATGTGCACCAGGAAATAATATTAAAGCGACAAAGTGTGTACGCACGTATTCATGTATACATATGAAGACAGGTGGAAGAACGCATGTAAATGTGAGTAACGGCTTGTGTTACTAGCGAACAAAGGAGTAGACAAAACTTTTCGCTTCCCACATATAGAGCGTCCGGATGAAATGTACACATAATATAAATTGTAGATATCGGAAACTAATAGTCATACACGAATCCGATTTATGTCATCGGAAAGGGAAAACCGAATTTTATTTTTTACCGGCTTACGCGCGTGTGCCGCCACATTTTTGTCACCATGTTAGGAATCACTTGGATAGACAGATTGCTGAAATGGCAGAAGTACACTAATCGCTTGGCCTCCTAAGCCGCTAGATTTGACCCCAATGGATTTTTTCTTGAGGGGTTATTTGAAGAACATTGTCTGCCAGGTTGAGATCAACGACCTTCAACACCTGAAAGGCCGCATAAGGGATGCTGTGGCTACGGTAACACAAAACATGCTTCAAGCATTGATATTTGCCGTACCACCAAGGAGACCCACGTTTAAATTCATTGAGATAAGCATATACGCAGAAAAAAAATGTTGATAGCTTCCTTTTGTAAAGGTGTAACGCTTTATTGTGTATAATAAATTCTTTCTGAAATATAAGGATTTCACTTTGGATACCGTTCATCCGGACGTTCTGTGTATATTACGTATTGATGCCCATATTAATTTTATTTCAGTGAATATCCACGAACTTAATTGCTACTTAAAACAGCAAAATGTATAGTGCTCTGAAGGTTATGAGGTAAAATATTTAGTATTAAGTACAATAGCATTCATAGGAAATTATGGCGCATTACATATTATATTATATGGAAATACGTGATTCAAAATTACACAGTAAAAAATAAAACAATGTCGTCAAAATACACTTTTATGGAAATATATTACTAAAACACACGCGGTACAGAAAAAATATTCTTTCAGAAAATTGCTAAAAGTATTTCAAGTACACACATTATAAAGAAACATAACATCCTCAAATTTAAACTATAAAATATCTAAAATTTTCGTTAAATACAAATCATAAAATTGTTCATAAACATATAATTGTATTCTCATATATTTATATATATACATGTATATGCATGCACAATATACAATAAATAACGGCCTTAACAAAATAGTTTTTTTTGTGCGAAAGATTTTGACAAATCTAACAAGTTTTGAAGGCATGAATATATGCTTAATAGCAGCTAAAGCCAAAATAGAAGCATATACTCACATTCAATGCAGTACGGCAATTTTCTATAAAAGAACATTCCCTCTGCCCCCAAAAAATGCATCGAATTGTACATGTATATACATATTTTGAAATGGTATCTTCACATTAATTAGGACATGCTTTTTCGCCGCTCCTCTTCATGAGGATCTGATAGGCACTAAAGTAAAGTTTACATTTCGCGAAGCTTGCAGCTGTACGACCTCGCGAATCTTTGACGCTAAGATCCGCACCGTAACGAGTGAGGGTCTCAATTACTGAATCGCGTTGGAATTCAACCGCCCAGTGTAATGGCGTTTGACCACCTATTCTGGTGCGGGCATTAATATTCGCTCCACTTTCGATAAGAAGTTGTACCACTTCCTTGTTCCCACTTGAACATGATAAATGTAAGGGTGTGGCGCTGTCCGAAGAGTGTAACTCAGCGTTTACATTTGCTCCTTTATCAACCAACAATTTAGTGAGTATATAATTACCCATTTTGGAGGCCGTCATCAGTGCAGTAACTCCGGTTACGGTAGGAATATCTACTGGTGTGCCATTATCAAGCAAAAGACGAACATTGGCCTCACGTTTGTTTAGTGTAGCAACATGTAGAGGGGATTCCCAACGGTTATTCCGTGACACTAAATTACTTCCCTTAAGGGCCAGTAGCTGAAGACAACGCGAATCAGTATTTTTTGCGGCAAGATGAAGGGCGCTATCTCCCCAAGCATCCGCAGCCGCTATATCTGCTTCCCAGGATATCAGAATTTCTACAATATCCTCGTATCCTCGAATTGCTGCGAAATGTAGGGGGCTTCTTAAATTCAATTCTCTGCAGTTCACATCTGCTCCTGCTTCAAGTAGCAGCAAAGCCAATTCTCTCCTGCCTTTATCAGCAGCATAATGAAGGGCAGTTATGCCATTATTGAGCCTGTCGTCCGCAGGAACCCCGTTTTCCAGCAACCAGCGCACCACGTCTAGAGAGTCATGCATGGCAGCAGTAATAATCAGTGGTTCTGCATTCGTCTTATTCATGATAATCATTACGTCCGCACCATGGAGTGTCAAGAGCTTCAGACTTTCCACTTTGTTACCCATAGCTGCAAAATGCAAAGCTGTAAAACCTGTCTTCTCTTGGATAGCATTCACATCAGCGCCATGATATATTAACAGACGTATCATATCTAAATGACCCAGATAAGCTGCCATATTTAGTGGTGTAAAATTTTCTGGGTCCTGGGTTATATAATAAATTTTGGAGCCTTGCTGAAGCAGATAAGAAGCCATATCGATCTGATTGAACCGCACTGCTGTGTGAAGTGGAGTGTGTCCTCTATGATTTCTACAATTGAGGGACACGCCTTTAGAGTGCAGCCACTTGACTAGAGGCAGATGGCCTCCCATAACAGCTAGGTGAATAGGACAGTCGCCTTCTGAGTCATCCGTCTTCACTGACAAAATAGATCCAAACTCGCACATCAGCTCGAACAATTCCACCTTACCTTCTTTTGCTGCCCAGTGAACGGGCGTTTGGTGCAAGGAACTGCAAGGAATATACATATTTGCCCCGTTCCTCAGCAAAACTCGGACAATATCGAAAGTCCCATGCGAAACCGCAACATGAAGAGGAGTGACGTTATGTAAACCAGTCTGTTTTATATTGACATCTGCTCCCTTATCTATAAGAATCTGCACCAGATGCGGATATTGCTCATTTATAGCATAAAAGAGCGGGGTTCTTCCTTTCCGATCCATGATATCCACGGACACTCCATTTTCTAGCAACCAAAGAAGTGTTTCCATTTGATTGAATTTGACAGCTGTATGAACCGGTGTTTCTCCAAACTCTGAGTTATCCTGCACTGTCAAGGAAGCACCATAACTTGCCAGTATACGCAAACTGTCCACACTTCCGAACATGGCTGCATAGTGAGCAGGGGTTTCATTACAGTCTTTTGAGCCATCATTAATTCTGGCTCCCATTTCAGCCAACAGAGTAATTATTTCTATCTTGTTTTGCAATACTGCGTATTGGAGAGGTGTGCGTCCCCATTCGTCGTAAGTATTGACGGAGCTTCCCCTCTGTACTAAATTTCTGATCTTGTCTTTGTCGTTCTGAATTATAGCATCGAAAAATATTGCAGAACTCCTTGCATTCTCTTCCATCTTAAAACCATCTGCTACAGCTCTCGAGTCTTTGGCAGGGAGATGCAGTTCCTTCTGAAACGAGAAGCAAAACCGAAAGCTCATAATTTGTAAATCTCCTTCAATAAATAACACTCGTTTGCACGATACACACGAGGTATCTCCCGCAAAAGTAATGACCCGCGACATTTACCGTCGCCTGAAAATTTTTCATAAAAATATTATAGTTTGTGTGGGTTTTCAACAATTTGGATTCTACTTCGCCATCTTTGCATAGACCGTCGTCACACAAGAGTATATTTAAAATAAAAAACAAGCATGTAAATTAATTATTGCATTCCTCTTCGCTTATATGACTATAATTCCTATCTGCAGGATAAATGACGTTCAGTTATAAGACAGTATGAAAGGTGACACGTATACCCTGTGGAAGGGGACTTTTGTTTTTCACTTTCAAGCAATTTCATATTATGTTAATTGTTGACGTCATTATCGTTGTAATACGTATTTATACCTCCATTATTTTCCTACATTTTAATCAGNAGGAGTGACGTTATGTAAACCAGTCTGTTTTATATTGACATCTGCTCCCTTATCTATAAGAATCTGCACCAGATGCGGATATTGCTCATTTATAGCATAAAAGAGCGGGGTTCTTCCTTTCCGATCCATGATATCCACGGACACTCCATTTTCTAGCAACCAAAGAAGTGTTTCCATTTGATTGAATTTGACAGCTGTATGAACTGGTGTTTCTCCAAACTCTGAGTTATCCTGCACTGTCAAGGAAGCACCATAACTTGCCAGTATACGCAAACTGTCCACACTTCCGAACATGGCTGCATAGTGAGCAGGGGTTTCATTACAGTCTTTTGAGCCATCATTAATTCTGGCTCCCATTTCAGCCAACAGAGTAATTATTTCTATCTTGTTTTGCAATACTGCGTATTGGAGAGGTGTGCGTCCCCATTCGTCGTAAGTATTGACGGAGCTTCCCCTCTGTACTAAATTTCTGATCTTGTCTTTGTCGTTCTGAATTATAGCATCGAAAAATATTGCAGAACTCCTTGCATTCTCTTCCATCTTAAAACCATCTGCTACAGCTCTCGAGTCTTTGGCAGGGAGATGCAGTTCCTTCTGAAACGAGAAGCAAAACCGAAAGCTCATAATTTGTAAATCTCCTTCAATAAATAACACTCGTTTGCACGATACACACGAGGTATCTCCCGCAAAAGTAATGACCCGCGACATTTACCGTCGCCTGAAATTTTTTCATAAAAATATTATAGTTTGTGTGGGTTTTCAACAATTTGGATTCTACTTCGCCATCTTTGCATAGACCGTCGTCACACAAGAGTATATTTAAAATAAAAAACAAGCATGTAAATTAATTATTGCATTCCTCTTCGCTTATATGACTATAATTCCTATCTGCAGGATAAATGACGTTCAGTTATAAGACAGTATGAAAGGTGACACGTATACCCTGTGGAAGGGGACTTTTGTTTTTCACTTTCAAGCAATTTCATATTATGTTAATTGTTGACGTCATTATCGTTGTAATACGTATTTATACCTCCATTATTTTCCTACATTTTAATCAGAATTTGCCCCTTAATCACAGATATTCACTTCACTTAGTGAATAATCGATAAGTTCAAATGCTGACAAAACCAGTTGGTCTATTTAGCTGTTGTTTATAAGCTAAATGTTTCGGTCGTTGCGACCGTTATCAGACGTTTATAAACAGTGAAATGCGTCTACGTTCGTAACCGGATTCTGCTCACAAGGAGAAGAATATTATTGTGTAGTTGCCATATCATCTGCTTCGTCTTGACGCTACGATTCTAACAATGTTATAACACTAGTTGATAAGGAATTACTATCATCACAATTATCAGTATTTGTTTCTGTCATGGAACTCTTCGGGACTGAAATATTTTATCTTCTGGAATACAATTCCTTGCAGTCCAGCGAAAGCCAGCAAAGTTTCGGAGGAATATATTGCTTCCATCTTCAAAATAATAGTCAAAACTGAGCAAGAATCTAGTAGAAGCAGGCGGAAAACTCAAGTCAATTTGTCGCTTGCTTTTAATGGTTTCTTTCTTGCTTTACTAGAAGAACCTGAAGATGGGGTCCATGTGCTCCTCCTTCCAAAATAACGGAGTCTCTCGGAACTATACAGGGTGACAACCTAGAAATGGCCGCGCCGTAGCTCAAGCAGTTAGCCGCTGGGTTTCCACCGCGGCGGCCCGGGTTCGATCCCGAGTCTGAACAAGTGGAATTTGTGGTGGACAAAGTAGCGCTGGGCACGTTTTCTCCGAATACTTCGGTTTCCCCTGCCAATCTTCATTACACCAATTGCTCCACAATCACCCTCACATATCATCTGGGGCTGGCACAATAGGTCAGAAGTGGCCGCAGTACACGGGACTTAGTCCCGTCCTACAGCAGTACAACTTAGAAGCCCGAAGTCTTCATAGCGACCTCAGCGAAAACTTCAAATTCTCTTACGAATCATTGATCCAGATATGTTTATGATTTAGTACTTGCATATGTTAAAGAAATCTTAAACTACATTCATAATCTTCTACATGTTTATGAAGACTAATTTAAGTACAAGATAATAAATAAATATGGAGGAATATTTACGAGGAGATACCGGCACTTATGGAGTTCATTTCTGAAGACATTTTGAGCAAAAAGTGTCTTATAACCCTCGGTCCTAATTCAATATTTACAGAGTTACGTTCGTAACTAGAAACACACTACTGAGAACTGATCGCCAGACTTTCCCAGTTAGATCATTGCATTTGGGAATGGATGAAGGACATTGTTTGTCAAAGGAAGGCACAGACACGTGAGGAACTACTTGCTCGCTTCATGCACGCTGCTACGGAACTCAGAGATAACAGTGTGCACCTACGTGGAGCAACGTGAGCGGTTCACAAACGTGTGGACAAGTGTATCGAAGCGGAGGGCGGCATTTGTGAAAATGTGTTGTAATCTCTGTAACACTTCGCAAAATTGAACTACAGAGAATCAAGTCCATAGAATTAATTTGTTTTTGTGACAATAAATGCATTAAAATAGAGAAATTTTGTATTTAAAATTAAAATTTAGAAACGTTCAAATTACGAACGTATCTCTCTAAATATTGCGTATAGGACCCAGGTTTATATTACACTAGTTGGTCAAAATGTCTTCAAAAACGAGCTCCATAAGTGGTGGTAACTCCTCGTGACTCACCCTGTAATTCACACCACAATCCATACCACTAATAGCTAACAATGCAACAGGACGTGAAGGCCCATAGGCTTGTGAGACGTCGGGCCTCCCACATTTTCTAGATATCGGCTTGCAAATGATTGTACGGTTATCAGTCTTAAGCGTCGGCCGCCCTTTACCCCGCAAGATGATTTCTGGTACTCATTTCTGTTAGAGGGCGAATCGTCCCCAGGGCCATAGAGTGGCTGGAAGGAATTGATTAACTGAAAAAGTAATGACTTCTTCGGGAATCGAATCCGCGAACTTCCAGCTCGTAATATAGTGCCTTAACCAACTACGCTACCGCGTGATCCAGACCCTGCCATTACTAGAATTAAATCGAGTCCATAAATAGGAATAATCAGACGTCAGCAAGAGAGCAACTGACATGAGATTATCTTGGAGATTAGAGTTCAGAGTTCAAGAGGAAATTTACTACGAGTAGTTAGTTAGTTATTAGAGAGGGTGGGTTTCCCCATGCACTTAGACCTGTAGTGGTCCATTGTGCTTCCCTCTATGATTTCTACCAGCCTCTATATCCTGCCGGTATTGGTGCTTACCATCAGTCCCGCCCTGCCAGCGAGACCGGCTCTACTGCCTGAGAAGTATCTATAATGCTTTCCCCATCTACCGGCGGTATTAGTGACTGCTGTCGGGCGGGAAACGTCCGCAATTTTGCTCAGTGACCTCCTTTGGAGGTATGGGGTTCTTTTACGTGCCGTAAAGCTACGACACGGGACCCACGTCTTAAAGTCCCTCCCGGAGGACTTGTTCCCTGAATTTTTCCGCCCTTAAAAATTCGACAACCTCCGCCGGGTATTTGAACCCGCGTACTACGAGTCATGAGGTGGGAACGTTACCTCTAGGCTACGGAGGCCGCTTACTACGAGTAGATCAAGTGTTTAATTGCACCGTGACTCAAATTTGTGATTGATGCTTTGTATACTGATATCACTTTCAAAAGAAAATGTGTTACATTCCTTTCACACATAAATATAAATTCCTATCTAAATTTCAAAAGAGTGTCTAGCATGTGTTAGTAGTTAGATAATGCCCAGCTTACATTAGGTCATTAAACTACTGCTCAATCCTACATCCATAATCGTACTCAGGTACAAGCCACAGGCAAAGCAACATCGGAAATTTTTCCCGATTGACATAAATTTCAGTTGTTTTTTGTTAATGAAAGTTGTACAGAAATATTTATAAGAAAATGATGGGGGTCATCATGAAAATAGAATTTGTAAAACTGGTTAGTAGTCCTTCTAGAGTACAGCTTGTTCCACTGGGCACGGCGGCCACTGACTGGCCTATTGTACTTGACCCGGGTGATTATGATGATGGAGGATTTGGTGGAATGAAGATTGGCAGGGGAAACCGAAGTACTCGTAAAGAACCTGCCCAGCGCCAATTTGTCCACCACAAATCCCACTTGACCAAACCCGGGATCGAACCCGGGCCACCGCGGTGGAAAGCCAGCGACTGACCGCTTGAACCATGGCGTGGCCTTTCAATGATATCTTTCTCATATGAGAAAGCAGTACAGTACACATAAAGCCAAGGCACGCGGTGCGATGCACTCTGGGTCCAATAGTTAATATTTATCTGGCTACGAGAATATTTTAAGGGATATTATATAGTTATAGCATTTTGGGAAACTTGTACTAAATAAACTGGCCTGCATGTATTTTTTCTTTTTATTCGCTTGTACCGACGCTGTAATTGTTTCCCGTAGCTCCTGAGTTGGCACGCTGAAAGGAAAATAAAGTAAAATTGGCCCTGTGATAATCTTATCAAGCACTA